GGAAAATTCCCCTGTAGTGTGTTCAGAGATAAGCTGTAACATTATCGCTTAAAACTGAATCTGCCCGTCAAAATGTAAAGTCATTTAATCATTTGTTATCTGTAGGTTCTTGTGTTTATGGGATGGTGTCTGGGTCTGGACTTGGCCCCGTTCCCCCTGTTTGTGACCCCTGACCTACGTATATAAGAACTAATCCAATACCTGTTGTCATTTTTTGTAATAATTAAATATTACTGCTACTGCAAATAGTACTACTACTACTACCATCACTCCTACTTGTACAATACTCATATTGAACTGAGCAGAAACATATTTTCTCCTTCTGGCTGTAAATATTCAGCGTAGTCTCTTGGTGCTGGAGAATTGTTGGCAGCTCATTCTGAAATGGCTCTTTCACATTGGACTGGAGCGGTGTGCAAAAGCCCATTCACACAGGGATCACGGCGCCATCACAAAACAGGTCCAGCTGCAGCTAATCTGTCCAAATCTGCACCTAATCCTCCACAAATAATCTACTCCCTGTGCAGGCGGCATCACAATGCTCCTGCCTGATCCGCGTCACCATCTCCACCAGGAAACGCACAGAATCACAAACATGTTTACACCTCGGGACTGACCTGCTACAGGCCAGCTCTAGACCTGGATTAGACCTGGTTTAGTCCAGCTCTAGACCTGGGTTAGACCTGGTTTAGTCCATCTCTAGACCTGGGTTAGACCTGGTTTAGTCGATCTTTAGACCTGGTTTAGTCCACGTTTAGACCCTGTTTAGTCCATCTATAGACTTGGTTTAGTCCATCTTTAGACCTGGTTTAGGCCACATTTAGACTTGGTTTAGTCCACGTTTAGACCTGGTTTAGTCCATGTTTAGACCTGGTTTAATCCACATTTAGACTGGATTTAGAACTGGTTTAGTCCATGTTTAGATCTGGTTTAGTCTTGGTTTAGTCCATCTTTAGAACTGGTTTAGTCCACATTTAGACCTGATTATTTAGACCTGGTTTAGTCCACGTTTAGACTTGGTTTAGTTCATGTTTAGACCCGGTTTAGTCCACATTTAGACCTGGTTTTGTCCGCATTTAGACTGGACTTAGAACTGGTTTAGTCCATGTTTAGATCTGGTTTAGTCTTGGTTTAGTCCATCTTTAGAACTGGTTTAGTCTACATTTAGACCTGATTATTTAGACCTGGTTTAGTCCATGTTTAGACCTGGTTTAGTCTTGACCTTTTTTGGCCTGTTTAGATTGAATGCACTGGATTTTCATAGCACTGTTTTGGATGAAGTGTCTCCTGGTTTTCCCAGCAGTCTCCCATCCAAGTGCCAACCTTGTATAAATCTGATTAAGGCCTGTCTGAGACCTGGTTTAGATCTGGTTTAGACCTGGTTTACACGTAGGTGAGCCCTGGCCTCTGGTGTCCTGGTTCCAGCCGTCCATAGTTCTGGTTCAGTCTTAGTTTAGTCCTGGTTTAGTCCTGGTTCACATAGACGTGTATGTGGATAGTGACGTGCGCTGCCTGATCCGTCCTCTCTGTGCTGGAGTTGCTGTTATCTGAATGCGGGCCGCAGGAGTTAGCGTCCCGTAGGATTAGCCCGTATCTGCGTCGCTGGATCTTTAGCCTCTGCTGCACACGAGCAAACAGGTAACAGCCAAAGCAGAATACCGAGAGAGCAAAACGAGGGCAAAAAGAAGGACAAAAAGAGGGAAAAAAGAGGACAAAAAGAAGGGCAAAAAGAGGGCAGAAAGAGGGTATAAACAGGGTAAAAAAGGGGCAAAATGAGTGTATGAATGATGTGATGATGTATTTTACTCAAACATTGTGTGAATGAAGCAAAACACAACTCCAGGTCTGTTTTTGAGGAGGGAACAACATTAGAAAATGACTTAAAGTTCAGAAGAGTCACTTTTGTGTAATAGAAGATCTTTAAAGCTGCACTGTGTCATTTTTCTGGCAGAGGGTTCAGTCGTCTCCATGGAGATGTTGTTGTTTTTCCTGTAATGTTCGATTCAGTGTATTTTTGTAGAACTCGAACTGCAGAAATGGATATTGTACAGATTATTGATTTAGACCTTTTTCAGTCCTGATTTAATTCTGGTTCAGTCCTGGTTTTAGTCCTGGTTTAGTTCTGGTTGAGTCCTGGTTTAGTCTTGGTTTAGTCCTGGTTTAGATCTGGTTCAGTCCTGGTTTAGTCTTGGTTTAGTCCTGGTGTAGTATTAGTGTAGTCCAGGTTAAGCGAGAGAAAAAGGTTTGATGGAGGAAAGAAAGAAAGGGAGAGCGAGAGAGACAGAAAAAAGAAGAGAAGGAGGGAGAGGAGAATAGAGGATGTTTGGAGAAAGAAAAAGAGCGACAGAGCGAGGAAGGTGAGATTAAAACGATACATAACCAAACCAATTCTACAGACGATTTCCTTAAAGTCACTCTGATGTTTTCTTTTCTCTAAATGAAAGAGTCGTCTCCTCCTGTTTTCTAATGCTTTTGTATAGAGTCTTCTCTCTCTCCTCCTCTCCTCCCTCCATCCTCTGTCCTCTCTCTCTCTCTCCACCGTGTTATTTCTCCATTCTCTTTCTTTTTTGTTCAGGCTTTTATCTGCTTCTGTCTGCTCATCTCCACTCTCTCTCTCTCTCTCTCTCTCTCTCTCTCTCTCTCTCTCTCTCTCTCTCTCTCTCTCTCTCTCTCTCTCTCGCTGTCTCGCACTTTGGACAGCCTCTCTCCTCTCCCCTCTCCTCCTTCTTTCCCTTCTCTTTCTCTTTCCCTCTCTCCCTCTTTCTGTTTTGGATACAGTCTTATCTTTCTCTCTCCTCCTCTCTTCCCTCTCTCTTCCTCGCTCCTCCTCTCTCTTTCTCTCTTGTTTCCTCTAACTCCCTCTCTCCCTCTCTCTCTGATTTTGGTCTTACCTTCCTCTTTCTCTCCTTCTCTCATTTTTGGATAGAGTCTTCTTCTTCCTCTCTCATCTCTCTCTTTCCTCTCTCTCCCTTCCTCTGTTTTTGGATAGAGTCTTATCTTCCTCTCTCTCTCTCTCTCTCCGTCTCTGTGTTTTTGGAGAGAGTCTTATCTTCCTCTCTCTCTCTCTCTCTCTCCGTCTCTGTGTTTTTGGAGAGAGTTTTATCTCTCTGTCCGTGTGGCCTCATTTCTCGTTTGTTCCCATGAGCTGAACAAAAACATGTTTCCTCCAAAATCCTCCCAAACTAAAGATGAAAATACTGTAGAGTCTCTGTGGCTCTGAGACCAGACCAGGTCTAGACTAGATCTGGTTCAGTCCTGGTGCAGTCCTGGTTTAGTCCTGGTCCTGGTGTAGTCCTGGTTTAGTCCTGGTTTAGTCCTGGTTGAGTCCTGGTGTAGTCCTGGTTTAGTCCTGGTGTAGTCCTGGTTTAGTCCTGGTTTAGTCCTGGTGTAGTCCTGGTTTAGTCCTGGTGTAGTCCTGGTGTAGTCCTGGTTTAGTCCTGGTTTTAGTCCTGGTTTAGTCCTGGTTTAGTCATGGTTTAGTCCTGGTTTAGTCCTGGTTGTAGTCTGGTGTAGTCCTGGTTTAGTCCTGGTGTAGTCCTGGTTTAGTCCTGGTGTAGTCCTGGTTGTAGTCCTGGTGTAGTCCTGGTTTAGTCCTGGTGTAGTCCTGGTGTAGTCCTGGTGTAGTCCTGGTTAGTCCTGGTGTAGTCCTGGTTTAGTCCTGGTTTAGTCCTGGTGTAGTCCTGGTTTAGTCCTGGTGTAGTCCTGGTTTAGTCCTGGTGTAGTCCTGGTGTAGTCCTGGTGTAGTCCTGGTTTAGTCCTGGTGTAGTCCTGGTTTAGTCCTGGTGTAGTCCTGGTGTAGTCCTGGTTTAGTCCTGGTGTAGTCCTGGTGTAGTCCTGGTGTAGTCCTGGTGTAGTCCTGGTTTAGCCTGGTGTAGTCCTGGTGTAGTCCTGGTGTAGTCCTGGTTTAGTCCTGGTTTAGTCCTGGTGTAGTCCTGGTTTAGTCCTGGTGTAGTCCTGGTTTAGTCCTGGTTTAGTCCTGGTTCAGTTCTGTCAGTTGTCAGTATTGGTTCTTACGTTTAATAAATGTTTTATTCTTGTATTTTAATTTTTCTAGAACTATGTCTGTTCTAGGCTCAAGTTAGACCTGGTTTGGTCCAGGGAGTACTCTTACAGTACTTTTACTTAAGTAATATATAGTACAGAGTAACAGTACTCTTACTTGTGTAATACATAGTACAGTGTAGTCGTACTCTTACTCGAGTAATAGTACAGTGTAACAGTACTTATACTTGAGTAATATATAGTACAGAGTAATAGGGCTGGGTATCGTTAAGTTGCCGATACGATACATATCTCAATACAGTGCACTTTCGATTCGATATGATATATTTCAAATCGATTCGATACAGTTCAATAAAAAATCAAGTCTAAGTCGTGGCTGTGATACTAAAAGTCTTTGTTAAACCATTTCTTGTGCAAAGTTCATATGAAACACAAACATTTTAATCCTCAAAACAGAATCAAAATGTCAAATGTGTCACATAAATGAGTTTCCTTTCACTCCACAAGCAACAAAACTGTAGCTGTAACAAAATAATTTAGTAAAACACACCTAAAAATACTCTTGGTGATATATCGATACAGTAGCCCACGATATCGATACTGTATCATCACATTAAACGATACGATATATCAATATTCCAATATTTTTGCACACCCCTACAGAGTAACAGTACTCTTACTTGAGTAAAAGTTGTATTTCCTCTTCTCACTGTGAGTCTAAAGTGACTAAATGTGAAATGATTTGAACAGTTGTGTTTCCTGTGGATCCTTCACATGTATGAGATCTGATACTTTTACTTGAGTACTATTTTTTACTCTGACTTCAGTAGTCCTGTGGATAATATTTGGATATAATGCTACTCTTACTCGAGCTACTTTTGTACTTTGTTTTGGCTGCTCTTCTCGACTCTGAGTGATTGTTCTACTGACATTTATTTTGGCTCTTGTGCTGTTTAACCACACTGACCTAACGCCGTGTGTGTGTGTGTTTTCTTCAGGAGGAGGTTTTGCGTCCGAGCGTTTCATCTTCCGGGAGCAGTGTGCGCTGAAGGAGGAGCCGGGCCTCTGTAAGGCCATCAAACAACGCTACTACTTCAACATCGACTCAGGACGGTGTGAGATGTTTCGAGTTCGGAGGCTGTGGAGGAAACGACAACAACTTCGAGAGCAAAGAAGAGTGTGAGGAGACCTGTGTGGTGTCAGGTATGTACCACACACACACTCATGCATGTTGTGGTAATCTAGTGATCTCTCCTGGACCCTATTCAAGCCCTGGTTAACAGTAAGATCCTGTACAAGGCTCCGCCCACAAGTCTACATCACCCACACTCCCACTCAGCAAAAATACACAAAAACATGATACAAACCTGTGCAACTTGACAAACCTGATGTGATGTGCAGTATTATCATTTGCGGAATTCACGCTGAGTTTGTTGTGATAGTGCTCTGAAGGGGGAGTGACTCAGTGCAGAGAGCAAAGGAAGGGGGAAAACTGAAACTTATACAACAGGTTAATGATGATCTAAATATGTGATGTGTTATCAGTTCAGACTCCACAGAAATAAAGTATTTCTATATATTTTGAATGATCTCCTGCTCTTTTATGAACCACTGGACTGGAGGATTTCAGGTCTGTTCATATTTCATAAGAACATTAGGACTTTGTCTTGCTCCCAGAGCTCGACCAACAAAATGACATCACTTTGTTGGTCCAGCTCCTGTTCCCAACACCTCAGCTGAGCAGAACTTTGTTGGGCAGTTCTGCAGCACTGTCCCACATCTTTGCTCTGATCGGTTATGTATGTGGCCGTGGTTTATCTGTTTCCTCGTCAGTGCAGAAAAAAAAAAAAAAAAAAGAATGGTTTTGAATCACAGCTGGAGGAAATGGTGAGAAAATACAAACATCTGTACAACTCGACGCTCAGTGTCTATAGAGACGTCAAATAGAAGAAATTCATGGAGGGAGATCACCGACATTTTAGACTCAGAGGAAAATCAGTGTAAAAGAGTCTGGAGTCATCTCTGTGATATGTTTGCAAAAGCCAAAAGACGAGTCACCAAAAAAGAGCAGCCAGGCAGGAGGACGAGAAGAGTGGGGCAGTGTGGCAGCAGAACATCTTTTGAAGTATGAAATGTCAAGGCCCCAAAAAACTTTGTTCTTATCACCTCAAGAACAAGAACAAAGGAATAGGCCTTTAGTCTGATTTTACACAGTTTCTTCAGTTTCACTGCAGACACAGCAGTGCCTCGGATCATCTCCTGTTTGTTCTCGTAAACTAATGAGTGAAGTGAAGTTCATGAAACGTGCAGAGTCCAGATGAGCTGCAGCGTGTCCTCCTCCTGCTCCACCTGTCGTCATGACCCTCCCAGAGGAGAACAGAACACTGTGTGTTTAACACTCAAACAGACTGATTGATTGATTGATTGATTGCATTTATATAGTGCCTTTCAAGATCCCCAAAGTGCTTTACAGTTCATTATTCAGTCACTCCACACTCAGTGGTGGTAAACTACTATTGTAGCCACAGCTGCCCTGGGGCAGACTGACGGAACAGAGACAAACTCTGTTCACACTCTGGGAGGAGGATTATTTTACACTTTAGTCTCATGAGTTGTGACCTCACAGCGTTAGGTCTGAATAAACTCACGTGTGAACAACATGACCTAATGCTTAAGACTAAAGACATGTACAGGAAGTGTGTATGGCTGCTGTTCGTCTCTATCAACTCTGGCTCCAGTTCACTTTCTATTGAAAAAGTCTCTCCTCTCTCTGTATCTGCTGCTGTCAGACTCCTGAGTTTGTTCTTAAAATGTTTGTATTAATCTGCTCGACATGATCCTGGTGTTTTTATTTTACAATTTCATCCCTAAATCAAGATATGAACATTAAGAATAGACAAATCAGGTTTGACTGACACTTTTGCTAAGTGTCCTCTGTTAAAGCAGTGTTTTCAACACCTTCACTCTCCACTGACTCTGGTTTCTGTGGTGCGAAGGAGGATTTATATATATATATATATATATTATATTTATTAATGCTCTTGGGAATTCTGTGTGTTAGTCAGATAGGAAGTGTTCATGGGCACGCTTACAGCTCCATCGGCTCTGGCTTCAGTTGACTTTGACATTGAAATATTGTGGCTCCTTCTCTGCACCTGCTGCTGTGAGCCTCGTCATTTTGGTCTTAAAATGTTTGTATTAACCCGCGACACATGATCCTGGGGTTTTTATTTCACTATTGTATCTGTAAATGAATTCCTGTTTATAAAATGGATTTAATTTGCTTGTATAACTGCAGGTGTCGATGAGCTTCATTTGACTCCGCGTCTTTATTCAGTTTACTCTCGCGCCTTTGAACTCAGATTAGAATTTTTGGAAAGTCAATGGGAAAACTTTACTTCAGGAAGCAGAGCTGACTCGGGAGTGGGCAGAATTGAGAAGTTCCATAAAAATAAATTTAAAAAAAGAAAAATGTGATGTTATAAAATATGTGCCTTGTTTCCTGTGTGTCGGGTGAATAAGTGTTTACAGTCAAATAAACTCTTGGCACATTTGTCACGCACTCCTGTTTTTATAACTCTGTTTCTTTATAATCTCTCTCTGATAAAACCTCTTATCTCTCTCTACGCTCAGAGTCCACACGAGTGGGTTTCTCTCTCTCTCTCTCCTTTTCCTTGCTGTTCTCTCTCTCTCTCTCTCTGTCTCTCTTCCTTTTATCAGAGTTTAAGTGGAGTGTGTACTTTCTCTTTCTCTTCCCTGTCTTACTCACTCTCTCTCTCCCTCTCTCTTTCTGTGTGTCTCTTCCTTTTATCTCATTCTGTGGTCAGATGGAGCGTGTACTTTCTCTTTCTCTCATCCTTCTTCTCTCTGCCCCACTTCTCCTCCTCCCTCTCTCTCCCTTTCATTCTTTCTCCTTCTTCATCTTCCTCCATCCCTCTCTCTTTTTCTCAGCCTCCATACCTCTCTCTTTCCTCCTCTCTCTCTATCTCTTCCTTTGTCCGTCTCTCTCTCTCTCTCTCTCCCTCTCTCTGTTCCTCACCCTCGGTCTCTCTCCCTCTCTTACCTCTCTCTATTCCTCACCGTCTATCCCCCCTCCCTCTCTCTTCTCTCTCTCTCTCTTCTCTCTCTCTATTCCTCTCCCTCTGTCTCTCTCTCTCTCTCTCTCTCTCTCTTACCATTGTCTCTTTCTCTCTCTCTCCTTACCTCTCTCTATTCCTCTCCCTCTGTCTCTCCCTCTGTCTCTCTCTCTCTCTTACCTCTCTTTATTCCTCTCCCTCTGTCTCTCTCTCTCTCTTTCTCTCTCTCTATTCCTCACCGTCTATCCCCCCTCCCTCTCTCTTGTCTCTCTCTCCTTCTCTCTATTCCTCTCCCTCTGTCTCTCTCTCTCTTACCTCTGTCTCTTTCTCTCTCTCTTCTTACCTCCCTCTATTCCTTCCCTCTCTTACCTCTCTCTCTCTTACCTCTCTATTCCTCACCCTCTCTCTCTTCTTCCTCTCTACCTCTCTATTCCTTACCCTCTCTCTCCCTCTCTTACCCCTCCTCTCTCTCTTACCTCTCTCTCTCTCTCTCTCTCTCTTCTCTTCCTCTCTACCTCTCTCCTCTTACCCTCTCTCTTTCTTATCCTCTCCTCTCCCTCTCTTCTCTTCTCTCCTCTCTCTCTCTCTCTCCTCTCTTACTCTTCTCTCTCTCTCTCCCTCTCTCTCTCTCTCTCTCTCTCTCTCTCTAACCTCTCTCTCTCTCTCTCTCTCTCTCTCTCTCTCTCTCTCTCTCTCCTCTCTCCTCTCTTCTCTCTCTCTCTCTCTCTCTCTGTGTGTGTGTCTTACGTCTCTCTCTCTCTCTCCTCTCTCTCTCTCTCTCCCCCTCTCTCTCTCTCTCTCTCTCTGTGTGTGTCTTATGTCTCTCTCTCTCTCTCCTCTCTCTCTCTTCTCTCTCTCTCTCTCTCTCTCTCTCTCTCTCTCTCTCTCTCTCTCTCTCTCTCTCTCTCTCTTCTCTCTCTCTCTCTGTCTCTCTCTCTCTCTCTCTCTCTTTCTCTCACGTCTCTCTCTGTCTTTCTCTTTCAGAAAACATCAGGAGACTGTGTTGATGTGAAAGTGCGCCGTTTGTTCCGATCTCTTTCTTGATCATTTCCAAACGTTTTAATGAGTTTGAGCAGCACAAACAGAACAGGCTCCGTTTAAACTCCTCATCTCATTAAAGACACGTTTTTCTCTTCAACTTTGACACAACTCACCAGATTTTTGCATAAATGAAAACGACACGAGACATTACACCGCAAAATATTTTATTTCTCTACTGTTAATGTCAAAAATATCGAAAATCACATACAAATCTCTACTCAAATACTCATTTTTCGCAGGTATCGATGCTGAAAAAGTCGAGTTGGAGATGTTAATATTGTGACAACACAACTCTCCACAAATATTACATAATTGGAAAAACAGAGCGGTGAAACCAGTCCAAACTAGTCCCGTGAATAAACACGAAATACCAAGTAACTGAGAGAGTTTAACCCACAGCCTCCTGACGTGGACCAGACCAGGACTCGGTATCGGTCTCACGCGGAGGTGACCCTGTCTGCGGGACTGACACCACTTTGACATTTGAAATAGTTTTATTCTCTTTCACGGGTCGGGGATGTGAGCGGGGAATTAAAGAGGAGCGTTAAAGAGGGATCATGAAATCGTGATTAAAACGAGCTCGGACGATTTGCCGAAAAGATTAAATATTAAACCTCAATTCAACAGTAATTAGAATTAAAGTGTAATGTTCTAATCCATCTTGTAATTGGCTTTTTATCCTTTAAGTTAGGGCACTGGGTCAAAAACGACACTCTGAAATTTTAACAAAGAACGAAACTGTGAAAATGACTGTGAAAAGCCCATGTTAAATGATTTTCTGATCTGTTATAAAGTGGTTTCCTTGTCACAATCAGACCTGGAGTTGTGTTTTGTTTCATTTACATGTTTAACACACAAACTCTGCACATTTAGAGGGTTCTTCTCTCAAACTGAAACTCTCCTGTTGTGACGTCATGTGCTGATACAGGAAGTGCTCCACTCCCACTAAAGGGTGAAATATAGTTCTGCGTCGACTCAATGCACACTGCCACCGTTGCCTTGTTGCCGTCGTTTTTGATTTATGGATCTGCGTCGAGGTCTGTGCACCGCGATGTAATTCACTGCTAAAATGCTAGGGGGCGACAA